GGAATGAGACTAGGAGCAATCCCAGCTGGTTGCCACACAGGCTCAGCAAGGAAGTAAGGAGAGCCACCACCACAATGCTCCCTCCTCCGAGGCCTGGGACGGCGCACAGGTGAAGCTCCTGCGAATTTTGGGAGGCTAGCGGCTGGGGGGGGGGGAAAAAATGCATGGCATCATCATGTGGCAAAATTACAGAAACTCTATCAGACGTTCTTGTGGGATAGCAACTGCCTCATGTAACATTAACTCCTACTTCTGGGGGAGCCTGCTTGCAGTTTGGCTCCTGAATGCGCCCTGCTGCCAGGAGAGAGGGGGAGAGAAGGGAGGAGAAGGAGGGTGGGGAAAGGGGAAACAGAGTTCAGCCCCTGGGAACGCCATGCTGCAAAATTAACTCTGGATGACCTGTATCCGTGTGTGAGCACTTAGATTAATGGAGCCTGAGCCTCAGTAGCCTCTTTGCACAGCCGTGCTTGGGTCCTCATTGGAATTGTGAGCAACCCCTCATATTAGTGGCCTTCCTGGTTTTGTGTGCTGGCTCCCCTCAGTTTTACAGTGAAATAAGCCGTATTATGATTCCTTCCTAGTACATTTAAGGAAAATGCATGCATCTTGTGGTGTATGTGTCAGGAAACTGTTGTCAGATTTATGATCTAGCCTGCCTCTCTCCTGTGTGATGATGGTGTTACTGGCTGGCGTGAAACGCACGGCCAAGTCTAGAGCTCTGGACCTGGCAGCTGTCATGGTCTGAAAAGGTTTTGTCACCTTATAGGGTGAGCATAAAGCTGGCTTACATTGGAAGCAAGAACCTGGTTTATGAGACAGGGCAAACAAAACAGGGCTGTGGGGAAAGAAGGACCCCAGAGAAGCCTGTCCTACCCCCTTCCTCCCTGGGGGCCTGGGAAAAGCTGCAGGGAGCAATCAACCGGAGGCTCCAGGGGTGGGAGCAGCTGCAGGAGCCGGCAGCTCAGGGGCCACTGGGCAGGCAGATGCCTTCCTACAGTTTGGCCAGACTTTCTCTTCAGCATGTTAACTGTTTGTTTTGCTCTCTATTCTCTCTCTTGCAGCGCTTCACCTTCTTATTTCCTTTTCTCCCTCAGTCTTTCACTTAAGTGTCCCAGTTCCTTCCAGTGTTTTTTTTCCGCAGTTTTCCACCCCTGCTCCCCACAGAAAAGTCACTGTGTTAACAGCTGTCTAAAAAAAATTTTTTTTCTGCATCCTTTTTTCTCCGTCTCCTGCCTGTTCTCTCTCTTTTAACTGCAGGCTTTTCTGAATAAATTATCTCTAACCCTGAGCTTGCACTTTATCTAGCACTTTGGAGTTCCTTTGTAGATTGGCTCTTGGGAGACTGTAGCAAAAACAATTATTGCTAAATAACAACATGGATTACTTCTGCATAGCTTCTACATAAATAGAAGGCCCCTTAAGTAGCCAAGTCTACGTTGGGAGTAGATACCTGTGACTTTTCTTTCAGTAAATTCTCCTTGCTTGCAAGTTTTCATATAGCAAATTAAAAGTGCTTCATAAATACTGTCCATGCCCCTATCTAATAGTGTAGGTCTGTATTCCCATTTGGAGATGTCAGAGAGCTCTGCCAGATCACAAAAAAATACTGTCATCAGATCTGGGGATTGCTCCCTTCCAAGTTACCTGCAGTTGACTGGAGTTCTTGAGCTGTTTGCTGCTGTTACTTGAATCTGTGTTATGAATGTGAATCAATGTAAAATCCTAGATGGCTAGGCTTTGGGGAGTTGTCTGTAAAACTTGATTGAGTAACATCAGTAAAATTTCCATAATTTCATCAGTGTTCAGCAGCCTTTAGCAGTGTGAGAGTAGGCTTGGTTTGAAAACTTGATGTGCAGTTCCCCAGAAAAATGATTCCTCATAATCCTCAAAAATTTCTTCAGAAAGAACAAATTTGACAAATTTTCCTTATACATTCCTGTAGTTCTTAAAGAAATGTACCCTAGTCCCAGATCCTTCTCCCACATATCTAGGATTGACTTTGTTATCACAGTAAATATACATCTGGATGATCTGATTCTCACTAGAATGTGCCAATATCTGAATCCATGTGTATTTTGTGTTAGTCTGTTGCTAGCTAAGTAACTGAAGCTTCCTAATTCCTGGGCACCATTCTTATATAGCATTTAAAAACAAATCACATCTACATCTGTGTCATTATGGCTTTGTGTCATGGACTCACTCCAAATAACATCTGTTACAGTGTTGACACACAATGCATATTTTACAAGCTGTTTAAAAACATATTTACTCAGTGGACTAAAATTGTTTATCAGCACATACTCGGTCTCAGGAGAATGGCTATTTTCTGTTCAAATTGAGAAGTAGAGGGGAAAAAGAGCAAGTTGAACAGTCCAGTGAAAGTGTTGTCAAAATCAGACTCCATTCTTGCAGACCTACCCCAAAAAAGTTCTCAGGAGTGAAAGTTGTGTGTCAGATGCGATCCACTATCCTTTCACTGTCACAGCAAGTTTTATCGTGGTAAACTAGCATCTTGGGTTTCAGCAAATACATGTCAAATATGTTTTGCCAACGGAGTGAACTGAAGGTGAGACAGGAGGCCTGTACACAGCATCTAATCTTCTTTCATCTTGAAATGTGTCCCTTGTTACTGAGTTTAGTAAATCATGGCGTTTTTTTGTAACGGTTCAAATTTAGCTCTGCTGTAAGACTGTGGAAGCAATCAAAGAGGAAGGCAAAGTTGGGTCAAGCAAGAAATTTGTTTTGGCAAGAAATAGATTCAGTCCCATTTCTGTGTGTGTTTCTGATACCTATGAATGCTGTGAAATTTGTCAAGGCAGGACTGAAGAGGATGTGTACTCTTGTTTGACTCTTTCCTTGTTACTGCATCTAATACCTGAGCCTATACTTTCCTCAGAAGAAAACACCAGAGAAAAGTTTCTGAAATGATAAATGTGAAAAGGAATTGCAATTTCAGGTCCTCTATTCCCTTCTCTCCACTCCAAAAAGGAGACCTGGCTGTTTGCCCATCTCCAGTACTTGCATTGCAAAAAGTCATCTTCCCTTTCTGCGAAACATGTATTTGGTGAAAACCAAGTGTTTATGACATTACCAGGACACTGTTGAAATTGGCACACCCACAAATTTGACCTACTTTTTTTTTTCTTTGCATCTGTTTAAATAAATTCTGTGTGATTAAATTTGGTGTCTCTTTCCCCAGCAAAAACCCAGAACTTTTAGTTTCATCCTGGAGCTCAGCTCTATAATTTTCTGGGCGAAATACTGCTTGCAGCAGCAGCACTGGCTATTGGAAAACTGGACCTGAGAGATACTTGTTTAGTTTATCATACCTGGTTATACTTCTGACCTATTGTAATGTCACTAGGGGATCATATGCAAGTATCAAAAAAACCCCATGAGAAACAGATCCCAGTTCCAACTTCTAAGGGGTTCTTAGTGAACTCATCTGTGGTTTTATCTGCAGATGAAAGAAAGAAACCTAAAATAACAATGAGTTTACCTACAGGATGCTGTCGTCTGTCTACTCGTAACTCATCCCTGAAATGTTATTTCACAAAAGGAAGGAACTGCTTCAGATTTATCCACTCGCAAATACCTTCTGGGCTGCTTATATCAGGAAGAGTTTTCTTCCATTTTAAATAGGTGATAAATAAATACAGTCAGGCTCTACAGGGAAACACCTTGGAGAATTATGAACGATGACATGCGTTGTGCTGCTTTTGTCCCTTGTAGGTGTGGAAGAGCACTCACTTGACAACTCTCCTATATTGGATGACAGATCAGCACTTTACTCTGGAGTTCACAAGAAGCAATTCTACTTTGACGGCTCCTGCGAAAAGCAGCCAGAGGATGACTTGGACTCACTTACTACTTCTCCCTCATCCAGCAGTCTTGATACCTGGGGAGCTAACCGGAAACTGGTGAAGACCTTCAGCAAAACTGATAGCCGTGGCCTTATCAAGCCTCCCAAGAAACTCGGGACATTTTTCTCTTACCCAGAAGAGGAGAAGACCCAGAAAGTTTGCCGCTCCTTGACAGATGGGGAAATGAAGAAGAGCCTCGGCTTGCTGAGCCATGGGGTAAGTACAGAAAGCATTTGCTTTTATGACAGCAACAGGCGCAAGCACCATCTTCTGGTGTCCCTGGAGGAGATTCAGAGTGTAAGGAAGCAGATCCAATTGAAGAAAATGGATACTAACTATTCCTGTTCCAGAGCTTTTCTTTGCCAGCGCCCTGCTAGGAAAGGAGCATCCCCCGCAACTTGTGACCTACAATTACTGCGGCACAAAACAAAAGGGGGTGGAGGTTGTGGCTTCCCAAACAGAAGGCTACGAGGGCGCGCTTCTGTCAGCGAGTTCAATATTACCTATGTGGTGGAGAGAAGCCTGTACAGTCACCTCAACCTCTCACAGCTGGTGCGTCCCGTTACTGACAGGACCCTGAGCAAGGCCGACAAGCAGGACCTGAGGAGATGCCTGCTGGAGGAGGATGAGGAGGCCAAGAGGAAGTGGGCTGCCACAGTGGATCGCTGTACTAAAAAGGTTCTCTTGAGAATCCACCAAAAGTCTGTGAGTCAAAGAGCTGCCATGAAGGTGGTCTTCCAGTTTCTGTGAGGTTGCAGTCAACACTTTCTGCTTTATACTTTTAACTAAAATTCAGCGCATCTGCTTTCCTTGCCATTAGGAACTCTTAAGCACCGTAATTCTGCTGTAAGGGAAGAGTTTGATATAATCCCATCACAGAAGAGTTCTGTTGAATCTGCAGTTTCTACATGTACAGAATAACTCTATGAGAGATAACAAATATGACAAAATGCTGCTGTTTAAATTAATTTAATTTTTAATTAATTTAATTTAATTCATTTCTGCACCTAGTGCAGAAATTGAGATCACTGGTGAACAGAGGAGGTTTGAGATGCTATAAACATGTTCTGATGCTTTGGGAGTCAGTATTCTCTTAAAGGGATACCGAGAGATGATCTAAATTTTCAGAGAATTAGAGCATCCTTAGTCAACTGTGCTCTGTTTCTCTCCTGCTGTCATTGCCTCATATTGGCCCAGTTTGCATCTCATCAGTTCACCCAACCAGCTCTGTATTCTCTGCTACACACACAGCTGCAGAAAGACAGAGAATTTTACGCTATGTGGATACTGCCCTCCTGCTTGCTGCTCAGCACCACAAGAAGTCCCCTTCTACTCTGTCCCTGGCCACTGCTCCTTCTTTCTGGCATGGGGTGAAGGTGGCATCATCCCTCAGAATGTTGTGGAAAGGGAACAAAGGGTGGCCAGAAAAGGAAGTTGTGCTGTACAATGGGAAATGAAGTGATTTGAGCACTCCAGAAAGACCCAAAGCTGCTTCCTGATTGTATGACACAGTTTTGACAGTTCCCTTAACCGTGATGCTGAGTTTCCTAGGAACTGGCCTTTGGGGCCAGCCAGATCTCCAAAGCTGAGCCATCTAGTCTGTTGTCTAGTTGGCAATGTAGATATGTTCCCTACTTCAGTGGGTGGAAACAGCTGTGCACCCATAGCATTAAGCAAGATATTCCAGTGAACAATACAGCAGAAGCAGCTTTTCCTCTTGAACTACGTATTTTATTTTGAGAAGTCTGTACTTCATTTCTTCATGTGTGAGGTATTCTCAATACGAGTCACAGCCTTCATGTCCTTGAATAACCTGTTGGTGGTGACCAAGCCTTCATGGTTCACTTTTTGCTCTTCAGCCACCAAATTGTTTTTTTCTACCCAATACCATGAACATTCTCTCTTGGCAACTTCACTGTTTCTTCTGCATTGACTGCTCGCACTGCCACTCACAGGGTGCTGTTTATTTTCAGAGAAATTGTTTTTCTATAAGGATATTACAATGATAAGAGAAGCCTTACTTGTCCTTCTGTGGGTTGAATAATAGGGTATCTCAGGCAAAAGAGCACATTTGTATGTGCTAGAAATGCCCCATAACTAAAAATACCCTCTAAAACTGTCTTTGTAAATACAGATGACAGAAACAAGCTTTTCAGTTCTTGTAATAAGTAGTCTCGTTATAATAATTTCATCATGAGAACCATCTGCACTGACTTTTGGTTATTCACAGAGATACAAATGGAGGAGAAATGGATAGCGTTCTGTTGCTGAGGAACTCCTCAGTCAACTGCTCCTTGTTTGAATGGGATAAATGGTGGAGGCACACTGCTTTTACTAGCTTTTTCAACACACTTCTTCCTGAAACAGCAAAAAGCTGACAAACTTCCAGCTCCTGCTTCCTAGAAACACTTAATATTTATTTGCTGCAACTTCACAGAAACTGCAATGCCTATGTATTCAGTGGAACTGGTCACTCTGCCTTGCCTTGCCATTCATTTTTGTCATTTGTATTTGTTTCAGTGACCTGGACATGCATGAAATTTTCAAATCGCATCAATTTTTCTTTTCTCCCAAAACGCGATAATACTTTTGATTGCATGGCCATTCCATTGAATAGCCCTCTCCTCATCCACAGACGTTTTGTTTGGTACAGTATTGCCAGGGTCACTACTGAAATCTGAAGGCAGAAGTCAAATGTTAAATGTATGGGGGGGTCCATAATGAAAGAATGAGCACCGTTAATATAGTATATTTATTCAGAAGCTTTTAACCAACAGACATTTTGCTCTCTCAGAAGACTGCTTTAGGAGGAGCTCTGGCTGGTTTGATAGACAAGTTTACTCAGAGCAGTTCCAGATGTCCTCTATGTTGCTGGGACTACCGTACGCTGTAGGAGTAGTTAGAATGGACTCTTCACAGAAGGACAACATTACTCATAGCTAAACGTGCTGTGCTTTAAAAACAGATTTTATTACTTGTGGTTGGTCTCAACTGCTTTCCAGAAACAATTTTTAAAAGCTATGCTATGGTCACGATGCCTTCCGTGAAAAAAAAAAAAAAAAAAAGGAAAAGAAAAAAAAAAGAAAAAAAAACCAACCTACACTTAAAAATTGTACATCACAGCACTCTTTTTAATGTGTGTGGGGCCTAGATGAAGCTGGCTTTGAGCCCTAGTAGGGTTGTGGTGGGTACAAAAGCTGTCATCCAAGCACTAGAGGTACACAGCACCCAACATAAAAGCAAGAAAAGAAAACTTTTTAATAACTATTAATATGTGTGCTGATTATCAGTGAACAGGATGAATGTTTAATAGAACTAATTGATGTGGTTGTTTATTGAGTTTATAGAGCTTGCTACTTCCTAACAGAAGGTCAAAACAGACTGTATTAGTTCTCAGGTGGTGGGTCTTCGCTGACTCCCAAGTACACACTCCCGGTACTGATTGAGCAATCCTTTGTAGGTCTGATCCGATGCTTAGCTGAGTCCTAAGGTGTCTTTGAAGTTCCTCTGTTGCATGGTTCAGGCCCTAAGAACTTAGGGTTTGCAAGTGGTTGATCTTCTGCCTCCTGTTTGTCTCAACTGTAACTCTGAAGAGAATACTTAAAATAGACGTATGCCTGTCTCTCAGCCCATACTCAGAGCCCCGAGTTGAAGTTGTGGAAGTAAATTGTAACTGCCATGCCTTCATTTCCCTGGTACTTGAGTACTGTGCAGCTGGTTGTTCAGTGGCCAAATAAAAAGTCAAAGGTTTTACCTTTTGGATTGCAAAGCAAAAGCTGGATTCCCTCTGAGCCCCCTAAGTGTCTGGTCTTTTCTCAAGTGGTGCCAAAGCTTTAGCAGAGACTCATCTGCCACAGTTAAACGATGGTTGGCTGTAGAAATGCAACTGTACGGGGTTCGGCCACCCTCTGCTCTTGGGAGGGAAGCAGTGTCATAGTGCTGATTTTCTTGTCTTATTCAGGATGATTATGATAAACTGCATCTGTGCATTCAGCCAAAAGTGAGTCACTCCACTAGGTGACTGGCACTGTAAACATAGCGTCCTTTCTCCCAGAAGGAGCAGAGCTGCTGCGTATCACCACAGACAGCTGTGATGGTAAACACCTAATGTGGAGTCAGGACTTGCTGAGTGGGGACACAATGCTTATGGGTAGCTGGACTGGTTTTTCCCTCCTCTTACCAAGGGCTTGCCCTACAAGGCCTCTAGTGTTTCCCTCTGTTTCAGTGGAAATGGAGCCTATGCAGCTATTCCCAGAAGGTGGCTTGTACAGTGCTTTAAAAGATTGGTGGTTCTCTGTTTCAGTGCGACTGTGGACTTATTTATGAAGGCAGATGGGAGTGCTGAGGTGGAATTGCCAGCATCCTGGAAAACTTGGTGCATACGATCAACAGTTTCTTCAGACCAAAAAGTCTTTTTTCTTTTTTAAAAGAGGAGTAGGCAATAGATGACTCAACAGCAGCAGACCTTAGGCCAAGGAGTTCTCTCTGCAAAGGACAAATGACTCAAATTGCTTTATAACAGATTTCTTGATTTATAATCTCCCATCCTTTTGCTTGTTTGTTTGTTTCCATTTTTTCAGACATCTGTGTTTTCACTGGTGTTCTCCAAACCAGAGATGTTCTGAGTGAGCTAATCGTTGTGATACAAGTGTATCCACCTTTTTTTTTCTTTCTTGCAGAGAACCTGTAGCTTTGGAGGATTTGACTTGACAAATCGTTCCCTTCATATTGGAAACAGCTCCGACCAAATGGTGAGTTTAAGACAAGAAGGCGCAGACTTGAAATAGCATGAAATGAAATGCGCAGTAGAGTTATAATAGACTGAAGTGTGATTTAGGTCTGTAATAACAGCTTGGGGATCCAAGAAAGCAGAGTATCTTCGGTAACCTCAGACTTCCTTAGCTTTGAGAATAACATACCCACCCATATCCATGCATGTATAAGTATTTATATACCATATGTGTAAAGAGGCAGGAACAAGTGATCAAAGCGCAGATTTGGGAGCACATCTGTGGGCTATTCTTGTGTCTGGCTTCCTCAGAGCATCACCCGAGGCAAAACATATGCTTACTGTGCTTCCTTGGTAAAAATATTTACTATTTGGATTGATGAAGCGAACTTTGATTTGCTGAAGATCTGCAAGTTGTTTGGGTGGAAGTCGTTATGTAAGAGATTTATTATTTGTTTTCTCATTGTATCTAAGAGCTCTGGAGTAGACCAGGATCCCATTGTGCTGGGTGCTGTGCAATTGATCTCAGAGCTCTTTGTGTTTTTAAAAAAAAAAAAAAAAAAACAAACAAACCAAAAAAAAAACACTTCCCCTGAGAATTAATTCCATTTTGTATTACTCATGTTGATCCCAGTGTTACTGTTGGTCAGCCTGCGGCCAAAAACAACAGGACAGAAATGATCCAGAACATTATATCAAATGAAATTGCCAACATATTTTTTCCTTTTGCCCATGTATGTTTTTATTTTCTTTTTCAACATTGGCTGAGATAACTTCTCTGTTCACTTAAGTCTAAATTGTGAGACATTTTATGTGCCAGCATTATATTATTTTTTATGGGAGTTAGGTTTTTTGGGGTGGTTTTTGTTTTTCTGATTATTTTTTTTAACATCATAAATTACCCCTAAATTAGCCAGAACTGTGGGTGCTTATTTTATTCATCAATTTTCCACTCAGTAAAAAAGTTAACTTTCAGTCTTACTGTTTATCTCTAAACACAGATACTTTGGCATATTTTGTTCAGATTGGTTTTGAATATAGGAAAGTGTGAAATCCAGATGTTACATTTTTCCCTACTAGCATCAGTAGTGGGAAAGATGCAGTCCACCAGAATAATGTATGCAGATCAAGATTTTTTTCTTGAAAACATTTAAGTCCATCAAGTGGAAGGGTTTTTTTTCCTAGAAAGATAAGGCAAAGAGCTGTCTTTAGTTTCTGCTAAAGGACCCAAAGTTACCGAAGAAGTTGTAATCACAAACAACTTGTAAAAGAAAAAAATATAGAATTGTCAGAAATGAAATATCATCTGAATTTCAAAACAACTTTTTTTGGGAGAACATTAATAAAGTAGAAAGCATACATAAATTCAGAAAAAAAGATCAATCTTTTATGTAGAATATAGTGTGCATTTATTTTAGGGTTTGTTATCTTATGTACCTAAATTGTCCTCAGAAGGATTATTGAACCAAGCCAGAGAACAAATTCAGTAGTCAACCTCTTTGGCCAAACAGATTTTGGTCCTTTTTGCGTTGCGATTTTGGATGCACCCTTGCCAAGGGAGGGTGCTGGCAGTAGCTCTAATAGAGCTGCTTTGCTGTGGTTCCTGACACACTGTAGAATGAAAGACTGTTTAACGTGTTGCCTGGACAATCTGAGCAAGGGCTGAGTCATACAACTAGGTTTGGCAAAATGTCAACTGATCCATGGTCATTCTTTGTGTGTACTTGTGGCATAAGTAAATGCTGGGTATCTTAAGCTGGTTTAGAAAAGGTTAAATGCGTTCAAAGCAGCTGGCCTTTGTCATCCGCTATATACAGACCGGCTAATTTAGTTCAGCAATACCCTGTTGTATGTCTTAAGAATAGCTGTGCAAGTGTAACCTTCCACCGTAGTTGATGGACTTCGTAGCTTTTTTGCGTTTTTTTATAAACAATTCACAGTACAACCACAGAGACCATCATCAAGAGAGGTTAACTGAATGCCTGTCTGAAAATAAAAAGTGAATTTGGGTAGCCAAATGCAGGTTTCTGCATATATATATATATATATACATACACACACACACAGACACACATACAGGTAGGATCTCAGAGGTACCCTTCCTTCTGTTAAATTGCATGTAGTATTGACCAGCATGAGCCACAACTACTGTTGTATGCCGTGTCAGGAGGACATAGCCTGAAACCGTGGAGTTTTCTGTCAGGTCAAATACTTATGAAACTCAAAGGGATAAAGGCAGCCTAAGAGACCCCAACACATCTACACACAGTACTGCAGTAATGGTTACAAATCAGGCCTTGAGTGAGGTACAGTGGACTGCTACAGTGGTTTGCACAAGGTCTCAGCTGTGAATTCAGAGCAGCAAAGAGGATACCATGCTGCTGTCCTATGTCTGCCTGGATACCTCTGGGTGTATACGCTGACTGAGGAAGAAAATGGCTCTTGTATTTTGTAGGTTTAAACCCTGTTTTGTTTTGCAGGGCAAAGAAGGAGACTTTGTTTATAAAGAAGTGATCAAATCACCCTCTGCCTCCCGTATATCTCTGGGCAAAAAGGTGAAGTCTGTAAAAGAAACCATGAAGAAAAGGATGTCTAAAAAATATAGCAGCTCTCTGTCTGAGCAGGTACGTAAGGTCTATAATGGAATCCACTTAATAGTGTAGAAGTGATAAACAATATTGATTCCCATGCTTCAAGGCATCTCTGAAGAAATTTCTAACAAGACTGTGTGGTGTGGCTTATTCCTATGTTCTTATAAAAGCCCTCACTGTGAAATGGCTTCCTATAGATGCCAAACCATGAAAATGCATTTTCAGATTTTCATTCAAGTAGCTCATCAGCAGAAGCCCGTAGTTGATGGCATTACATATCTCGCTCTGTATTTCCATTTCTTTATCTATCATCATTATTTATTGAGGAAACTGGTCTGTGACACAGGGTCACAGTAATATATTTAATCTGCAGTTTACACCTTAGTTTAAATTCCCAGCATAACTTCACATACACGGTTCCTCTCTGTTGTTACGGATCTATTCTCCATCATAGCTTGCCCTCTGCAGCAGCCCATTAAACCAGATGCACAATGTAGTCAGAAAGGATCATCCCACAGAAGTTTTTCCTATTATTCTTCATTACAGATTGTTATAGCTTGTTCTTAAAGGCAAACCTGAAGTACATTAGTTGTAAATTAGGCTTTGAATTTCAGTGGCCTTGGAACAATTGCTGTCTTTTTTTCCCTTTTAGTATACTTTGGGCTCTTTGCTTTGGTGGAGTGTCAAAAATTCTTCGGCATTTGTTTAAAACCCATTTTGGCATTTGAGATCTCTAAGTGGTAGTTCACCCAGCTGCCAGGAAAGCAGAGCTCTCTCTGGCTGACATCGCCCCCGAGCGGCCTCGGACCTGCCGCAGGATCGCCGGGGATGCTTGCAGCCTTAGAAAAAATGGCAAAGGACAGGGGGGTGATGCCCCACTGGATCTGCCTTTTGATATTAATGCAAAGCGTTAGTGCCTGTAAAAGGAATAGTTCGTAACATTCAAAATAATAACCCCAAACTGCAGAATCTGGAGACAGCATAGAGGCAGAAATGTGAGCAGTTTTATGCAGTGATTTGCAACATTAGAATCCCTTTCCTATAGGACTATTAGCCATACTTATTCATAACCAGGGGCAGTGCTACAGTTATGGTTATTTAATTTAAATTTACAATTAAAACTTTTTAAGGTCTAACATGATTAGATATTGATAAGAAGGTGCTTTAGTGTCTGACTGGCCTTACAGTGCGCCTCTGTAAAGTCTGCCTAAGAAAAGGATACTTTGAGAAATTGGTTTACAGTGAGTTAGCAATACTTCTGCTCTCTAGCTCTCTGCAAGATTGACTTGACCTCTGAAGTCATATGCTGGGATGGCTTTTTTTTCTGATGATTCTGCAGCATGCAAATAATAGCTTTCATCTAAAAGTTTTATGACCACACATCTCCACAAAAACTCTTCTTGTATGCAAGCTACAGTTCTTTTGTTTTCAACCTTTTTGGCACAGTCATTTTAGAATGTTTGTACCTTTCTGTCATCATGACTCAAACTGTGTGCCAGTATCTCATTCTGCATTCAAAAAAACAAGCAAAAGCTATTCTGGCCACAAGTGTCTACTGCTTTGCTTTAACTGTGCTTCACAGAGGCTGATGGAATTTCAATTTAGGAAAGACCTTTTTTGATTTCCTGTAATGCTTGACTGAATGGAAAGAGAAATTGTCTCACCTGTTGCACATGTAGCAAAATATTTTTCTATTTATGCCTCTGTGTTTGTGAGTATTTACACTATGCATAGGCTGCATTTTCTGGTTAGGGGTTTTTTTTTTTTCTTCAAGGTAAATGAGCAAAGATATGAACAATTCACTGCAAAAAAAAAAAAAAAAAAAGTATGTTGCTGTGTATCTCACTTGCTTTGTCTGATTTGTTTGTATTCATCTTTGTATGAAATCCTGATTCAGAAAGTGGAATTTGGCACTAGCTGTTTTGCAAGAGCTGCTGGCAAAAATATCGTGTCATCAAAACCTTTGAATTGAGAGTTTTTTTGTAATGTTTCTTTCCACTTACAATGCTACATTTTTCAGGCTGGACTGCTTGCTCCTGTCCCTGCTATCATACCTAATAAAGTGGGGTTTCTGCCACAGCAAAGTACCATTAAATAAGTGTATATAGAATGTTTCATCCTCTTTGGTAAAGAGCAGGAAAACAGAATCTCTTTCCTTGGAGATGAACAATCAGTTCCTGTCAGTGCCTATCTTAACTTAGCAAACTGAAATGGTTCAATCCCTTTCAGGAGTCCAGCCCTGGGGTCATGCCAGGTTCTCCGCAGTCGCCGCTGCCAGACACTGACTCCCTGGACAAACCCAAGCTGAAAGCCGGTGGCTCAGTAGAGAGCCTGAGGAGTTCCTTAAGCGGTCAGAGTTCAATGAGTAAGTTCAGTTCTAATTGTGTTGCTCCATTTCTGTGGCTTCAGGGAGCAGAGATCTCCACAGTAAGCAGAATCAGATAAAGTCAAAACAGCAGCAGTGGTTAAAAAGTAGAAAGGCTGATGAGTCAGTAAGGGTTTACAAAGAACCGTAAGCTCTTTGTTGCAGGGACCTTTTTTGTTTTATGTTGATACAGAGCCCGGAAAAAGTGAGATCCTGTTTTCTGGCTGGGTCTGCTGTGTCGTGCTCTTATATAATATAAATGACTGGAATGAGAATTACAATCATTGGCCAGTAGTAAACAGGCTCATCTTTACACTCGATTTCTCCTGGGCACGCCTGATGGGCTTCCCACCGCCCCTCTAGAGAGGCCTTGAGGTTCTCTCTTTAACTAGTTAGAGGAGTATTATTTAAAACCTCTCTGGTTAAGATTGTCTCTACACAAAAGCTTAAGTGGGACACAAATGGTGTGAACTTGCTTCACTATGAATTACTGACCCATAGAAACCAAGAACATATTGAGGTAATAAAAACTGAAGAGAAAGCTCCGTTGTTAAATAAAGGAACGTGTGTTCTGAAAATCATGCAGTTTTGGTTTTTTGGGCATTTTTTGGTTTTTTGTTGGGTTTTTTTTGTTGGTTTTTTTTTTTTTTGTAATATCAATACAAATTGTTGCTGTAAAACCAAATTTCTGGACATGAGGGGGGAATCTGGAACCCTCATGCAGGATTCAGAGCTTATTTTCCTCACACCACTATGCTTTTTTGTGGACATCCCAGAAAGATGACATCTCTTGTGATGTACCATAAATGAGACATTAGTTATACAGCTCAGTTAAATATTGAGGAGCTGAATTTGGGAAAACAAGAGTGCAAACTGACTCTCCCATCACATGTGTAAGGACTTTTAACTTTTGATTACCACGTTTTATAGAAAGAAGTTACATTTTCTGTCTTGCCTCTGTTAGTTTCTGAAACTTCTTCACAGAGATTCTTTTTTGTGGACTGATGCTATGTCTCTTACACAGGTGGTCAGACAGTGAGCACAACAGATTCCTCAACCAGCAACAGGGAGAGCGTGAAATCAGAAGATGGTGATGATGAAGAGCCTCCTTACAGAGGACCTTTTTGTGGAAGAGCCAGGGTTCACACTGATTTTACTCCGAGTCCTTATGATACAGACTCTCTGAAGCTCAAGGTACCAGCTATTTCTGGTTTTAATGGGTCAAACTTTTATTTTACCAAAATTCTTAATTAAGAGCTCTTTGCAAGAACTATACAATTCTTGGTCTTTTAATGTGTTCACATGTGGTTTTGAAGCCTTTAATCTGTCTTACTCTGATACATTTAAGAGTTCCCTGGATTACAACAAAATGTTATAGAACATAAGTATTAGTATTTCTCCATGTCCAGGGAAAGATACTTATGTCTTTAGTTTCTGGAAAAATAAAAATGTGCCACAAATTCATTTCCATTTTGCAAGGATTTTGTTTGAAAGACTTGAAAAATACTTTGTCTGCCACAATGAATTAATCCATCAATGGAAAAACTTTCAAAATCCGTGGAAGAAATGTGGCTGTGCCTGCACATAGTGTCTCTTAAAGGCATTTCAGTTAATATAACTTGTTTTGAGTTAATATTGAATAGCTTTGCTGACTGTGAATTGTCCCCCCCCCCCCCCCTTTTATTTTTCTGGGTATCAACTTTTACTATTTTCAGTTGTGCTGTATTAGATTCAAACTATCTGACTCCTTGCGTTCATTACATAAGTTCCAAGGGCAACTAATTCCTATTAAAGCAGATGTACGTAAGGTAATATCTTTAAGGAAACAAAAACAGTTTGTGTCCATATTTTTGTTATGGTTAGGAGCCTATTAGGAAAAGCAGCAGTGTTGCATGGTTCCTTCTGCGTAGGCCTCCTTTCCTCAGGAGATCTGATGTGAGATTGTGCCCATATACACTGAGCATGTTCTTAATTTGCACCAGTTTCAGATAGTTGCACAGTTTAGAGACATTTGTACAAAACAGCAGTGATGCACTGCTGGGGGTGTAAGCAGGTTTGTGAGTTGGGGTTGGTTCCAGGTTCTTTTGTTGACGTGCTTTGTCATCTTAAGCATGTTACTTAATTCCATTTTCTTCCGTTTGTAAAACAAGTATAATCAGACATTTTTGCAAGAGCTGTGGTTCACCTTTTGAAAACTAAAGAGTGTTGTCCATTCAGTGTATGTGAAAATCTAAGAGAAGGTGGATGTGTTTGCTTGAATATCCATCAGAAAGCATGCCTAAATGCCTTTTTTGCTTCTTGGGTCTGCAGAAAGGTGACATCATTGATATAATCAGCAAACCCCCCATGGGCACTTGGATGGGCCTGCTAAAAAAAACTTTCAAATTTATCTATGTGGACGTGTTAAATGAAGAGGAAGAGAAGCCGAAGCGGCCCACCAGGAGACGCCGGAAAAGCAGACCACCCCAGCCCAAGTCAGTTGAGGATCTCTTGGATCGCATCAACTTAAAGGTCCAAATTATCTCTTTCTGTTTACCCTTCCGTTTTGCTTGTGGGAAGGGGGCCACATCTGTGGACTTGTTAGTTTTGAAAGCTGCACACCAGATTCATAATCCTGAGGAGTGTGACACCACTTAGCAGAATTGAGTCTTAGCTGCAGAGTGAAAATAGCAGAGGCTGGGCAGAAGTGCCTGTCAGGTTTGATGAAGTGCTGCAGGCTGCAAGTTATATGCACTTGGAGACCTTAAATTGTTGCATAATACAGCTACTAGCTAACACACTTCAAAAGTAAGCAAAAAGTGTAAAATAACAATAGTTACCCTGTCTTTAAAAAGGAGGGGTATTTCCATGTTTCTGTTCAGAAGGTCTAGGGATAAACTCGTGCAGATGTCATTCACCCTTTGTACTTCCAAATACAAAAATATATACAGCATTCTAGTTATGGCACAGCTACTTCCCTGAACTCTGAGTAATGTTTATACTATCTATAATCCTATAATTTTGCTGTTATTTTTTTGCTGGTTGTGAGAATCTCTTCTAGTATCTTTATTGACAAAATAAGTTGAATAAATCTGTTGTCCTACAGCTCTTTTTTTACCTTTTTTTTTTCCTTTTATGCAGGAGCACATGCCCACTTTTCTGTTCAATGGTTATGAAGATCTGGATACCTTTAAGCTTTTAGAAGAGGAAGATTTGGATGAACTGAACATCCGAGATCCTGAGCACAGAGCCGTCCTCCTCACAGCAGTGGAACTTCTACAGGAGTATGATAGTATGTTGGATGTTTGAGGTTTTCAATTTTATTAGAGCTCTGCCGAGAACCTTGTGAACCCCTTAAAGCAGAAAACTGGTTCCAGGATTTTGATCTTCCCCACCTCCCCCACCAATCTAGTTATTTCCAGGGTAATCCAGTGTAACAGCTGTGACTTAAGACTTGTATTTGTTCTGCCAGAATTCTTTTGTTCATGTAAGCCCTGCTACCCAGCTTATTCCAGTGACGTCAAGTGTACAACACATACCCTTTAGAACACTGATGTTCAGGAGTAAATCCTGAGATAACCTACTGAAAATAAGGAGCTGAGGCATGGAGAACAGGAAAGAAGAAGCTTCTAGACTAGAGGGAAGAGACTGAGGTTATCTCAAGGGTAAGAAAAAGATCAAAGCCCAGAGGGCTGTGGAGAAGGGTAATGTGAATTAAAGTTTCTTTTATTTTACCTGCACGTGCATTCTCATACTGTGAATTGCAGGATGGTACAGGTAGCTTCAGGTTGTACACGACAACACAGTGATTTTCAAAGGGAGAAAATATACCAGTCAAATGCAAAGAGTGAAAGACAGTGACCCAACTATCTAAGATGCAGCAGTGCAATTCTGCCCGTTGTACACATGATCTCAGGCAAGAGGTTGCAAAGATGAGGGAAAGCAGAGTAAGCCATGGCAGTCAAATTGGATGACGTCTTTGCCACACAGGAGAAGTGGCACTGCACCATCCATGCAGTAGTCACAGTAGAGTCATGATAGAGTAGAAACATTTGAAAAGCAAGTGTAGCTTGAGACAGGAATTCAGATGTGCTCTATGCCTAGTTGCAGCAACCTGAGACTACTGAATTTCTCCTTTGTCCCTAAATGTCAGCAGAAGTTTAGTATCCCAGCAAGCAGAATCAGTGGAATGGATTGCGTGGGGGTTTTCTCAGCTGCTTCTGTGCAAAATCTTAGCTTAAACTGCCATAGCAGCAATTTAAACAGCTGCTTACTAAGTGGGCAATGCTTAATTCTGTTACAGATCAGTGTGTGGTTACTATCTCTAGACAGTGCTGTGTGGCCTGAGCTTTCACTGACATGTAGCTTTCTTGTTCATTTCCCAAAGAGGCATCCACAGTTTCTCCACCCTCCTCTACCCCCAATAAAACTGCAGTTGCAGAATTAGATTATTTTCACTTGTATCAGAATAGCTTTTCGTCACCTAATATGAACTTCTCTTTGTTATTTGCAGACCTATTTAGAATGCTCACTTCCCTGAAATAATTATTTTTTTTTAGGGCCCTTCAATTTTGGTTTGAAAACTTGAAGAACTATGTGATGTGGTGGTTGGAAAGTATAAATTCCAGTTCCAGGTCAGGGTGATGAAGAGAAAGAGATGGGGACCAGACAGCTGGAACCTGGGAGGGGCAACAGCAGTTAGTTCCACCCCATAATTACTTTTTATGTGCTGACAGTAGGAATTGGAATGGCCATTTCTGACATTTTATTGTAGGGGAAAAAAAACACAACATGAACTGTATCCTTGCATCGTGAATTTGGTTTTCTGTATCTTCAGCTCCAGATTTAGGTTCTTTACAAAGTATGATTTCTGACCACACATTCTGGGTAAATTCCTGGAATCCAGCCTATTCAGCCTGGATGGACCACATTTGAGTGTTGGCTTTTTGCACAGACCAAGGAAGGAAGGAATTTTTACCACTAGTCTCTCCCTTGTCCTTTCTCCCTTCATTATGGGACAATATCTAACTTTGCCAGACCCACTCCTGATCCTTTATAGAATCATAGAATCATTAAGGTTGGAAAAGACTTCAAGGATCATCAAGTCCAACTGTCATCCCAATGCCACCTAACCCACTAAAACATGTCCCAAAGCACCACATTTACACATTTCTTGAACACCTTGTTGGCACCTTGGAGCTGATGGCGACAACCTTGTTAAGCAAAAGTTTGTCCTTGGTTAGTGAGTGGAATGAAGCCTTGCGTGCATTCTTCACTTCTTATCAGCAAGGAAGAGGATTTTTGCTTATTGCCTTTTTACAACCAAGATGTTTGAGACATAACAAGTCCTTTCCTTATCAGGGCCTTTGACAGATAGTTAGTCCTGTACAGTCAGTTGTTTGTAGAGCTGGGGCGGTGTTGGTGCAGGTCTGAATTCTGGAGCTGGGGTTTTTGGCAGGGAGGTAGTTCTAGATCAGGTTCTAGCTCGCTTTATGATTCTAGATCACATTCTAGCGCGATTATTGTTCTGGATCACATTCTAGAGCGAGTTTCTAGATCACCTGTTTGTCCTATATCGCATTCCAGGTTGTGTTCTAGATCACTCCTTGGTTATAGAGCCCGTTTTAGATCAAGTTCTAGATCACATTCTGGTGCCATTCCAGCCCTCATTCTAGAACACATTGATGTTCTAGATCCCACTCTAGAGCTCATTCTAGATCACTTTGGTTCAATATGGCCTTCTAGAGCTTGTTCTAAAGTGCCATTCTGTATAATTCTGTGGTTCTAGATACCATTCTAGAGCACTTTGTGGGTCTAGATGGCATTCTAGAGCTCGTTCTAGATCACTTTATGGGTCTACGCTTGGTTCTAGCTCGCTTGTTGGTTCTAGCTCGCTTGTTGGTTCTAGATCAGTTTCCAGGCTGCCTTAGGGCTCCATTGGGTTCTGAGGGGGGAGGACCTAGTTCCTCTTGGTCCATTGTGGAAAGTAGGTCAGGATTATGACTTTATTATTTTTTACTTGATTTGGTTCTTTTTAGTGCTTTTTGCTTTTCTTTTGGTTTTTGAAGATTTTTAAGTCTTAGAAAGAACTTAGACACCATCACTTTAAATAAATTTACATGGTTGTAAGTTGCAGGACTTGGCCCCAAGGCACACACAGTCCATTCAGCTTTCATTATGTACCACACTGCTCCCTCACGCTTGTGCTGAGGCTGTTGCTTAATCCTTTACCAAATGATGATGGGATGAACGTTTCCAGCATTTGTGGTGGCTATTCCTAATGCTCACTTTTCTAAAACAGTGATCTAATACAATTAATACAACAGGGAGGATCACAGAATCATAGAATTGTTTAGATTGGAAAAGACCTTTAAGGTCATCAAGTCCAAACATTAACCTAGCCTGTCAAGTCCATCACTAAACCATGTCCCTAAGTGCCACATCTACACATCTTTTAAATACCTCCAGGGATGGTGACTCAGCCACTTCTCTGGGCAGTCTGTTCCAGTGCTCGACAACCCCTTCAGTGAAGAAATTTTTCCTAATATCCGTTCTAAACCTCCCCTGGCACAACTTGAGGCCATTTCCTCTTGTCCTATTGTTTGTTACTTTGGAGAAGAGACCAACACCCACTTTGCTGCAACCTCCTTTCAGGCAGAGAGAGATAAGGTCTCCCGTCAGCCTCCTTTTCTCCAGACTAAACAACCTCGGTTCCCTCAGATGCTCCTCATAAGTCTTGTGCTCTAGACCCTTCACCAGCTTCTTTGCCCTTCTTTGGACACGCAAGATAATGGTGTTGAAAATGGAAGGTTGAGAAGTTCCTGTTTGCCTGTTTTTCACTGTATTCTTGCATCCTTTAGGTAACAGCGACCAGTCAGGATCTCAGGAGAAACTTCTCATTGAAGGCCAAGGCCTAACCGGATGCTCTCCTCGGGATTCTGGCTGCTATGAAAGCAGTGAAAACCTGGAGAATGGTAATGGTGACAGCAATGAGCTTTATAAACCCTGCAGCCTGTTTTCAGTAGATAATTTCATGTACTTTCTGCTGCTGTTCCTAGCTAACACAAGCTGCTTCATACTTGACTTTCTCCTTTGCTCTGTCTCTTTCCCTCTTGGCTTGAGGCATTGGTTTTCATTGCTACTGTTTCTAATTTATTTATTTCCATTGGTAGGAAACAGATCACATTCCACAGATGATCTTTCTTTTGTGATCCTAAGGCAACAGGCACTCTCACTGCCATTCCCTGCCTTCTCCACTCCCTAGCATATTTTCATGAAACTGTGCCTTGTGGGGCTTGTACTACTCACACTCCAACAGCCCATGACTAAGGGACTACTGGCAATGGAGAAGTCACTGAACTTCACTTAGATTAGGAGGATTTCTTCTAAACCCATACAAAAACTGTTTAGAAAAAATATTCTCTGTTTTAGGCCATGTTTTTGTGTTTGCTTAGGTTGCTGTTGTGTTCTCCTCTGATCAGAAGCCAATGGCAGAGATTTAGGACTTTTTAGTGTATGAACACTAGCAGGTTAAATTAATTGGGAAGTTGGCAAGGAAATAAACTATGAAAAAAAAAGGTTAATATATCAGTTCCCATTACCTTATCTTGCATCAGTGAAAGGTGATGCACTGAAAAATTACAAAGACAGATAATAGAGATTACTCTGTTCTCAAGAAATCAGGTTGTTCTGCTGAGTGAGCGTGCTTTCCTTGAGGGATAGTGTAAACTTCTCATTAGGGATGAAATATTAAAATATATTAAATTGGTTTGAGTTTGACATAATCACTCCAAACATTTGAGCCATGGCTTGGCCTCAGACTGCCTGGTTTCATTGCTAACATCCAGCATAAACAGGAAACCAAGAACAGAAAAAGTAAAGATACTGTATGCCCCTTGTAATGGCCGTTTTTCCAATTTAAAATATGAGCTAAAGATCCTTCTGTTAGTATGCATTTTCTGTCAGTCTGCCATTCAGAAATAACCATTTATTGAAGAAAATTGCAATTTTCTTTGAAGCTGAATGCCTGAAATCGGCAGTACGCTAAATTCCTGAAAGCGGAAAGATTTTTGTTCTCAAATATGAATTCCCATGCAGTAGGCATGCTGGAATATAATCATAGCTAAATATATGGCATATGTGACAATTTTCTTTCTTTTTGTCTCTAAGTGCCATCATAATGATAGCTGTAGCACTGAAATTAAATTGCTGCCTGTACATTTTCCTTATTTTAACAATATAATAAAATCTTTAGAAAGCAGTTGTCATTGCCTGGCTGATTAGATCCTTACAATTACATTTAAGCTAATATTTCTATCTGAGTTTTGCAGAATGTGAAATAACACTGATGATTTTTATATTGCTTTTCGTGTATGGCTTGCTGCATTTCTGTATCATTTTTGCTCACAAATGCATTTAGTGCTTGTTTTGAAAACCGTTATGAAAAGAACATTTGGTATGGGATTCATTCAGAGATTTTGTCAAGGTTGGTTAATCTGAAATGTGCTCCACCTTCTTTGCAAAGTTTGTGGACCATAGTTGTTTAAATGCATATTATTTTCAAAATACATTGATTCTCATCTGTTAAAGTAAGGATAATCATTTGTCTAGTATAAACACCATAATGTGCAGACCAGCAATAATAAAGTGCCCTCCATAAGAGGGTAATGCATTCTGAGAAGAAATTGGTCTTCACATTTTCTGCGGAATGGCTATACATAATATTTTGATAACTAGTATACTGTCCTATGGTTTGGGCTGATATTGGACCTTTTGGCATCAGTTCAAGATTTCATAGCTGCTCTTACATTTTGGATAGAAAATGGTTTGCTATGTACTATGGCAGTGGTACAGATGTATCTTTCAGAGGTACTTCTCAGGGTCCCACTGCAGAAATATTTGGGTATTCTCAGAGGTATCCACAATGTGCTTAAAGCAGTGTTGTGATTTTATTCCCATTTACAGAGAACAAGGAACGTTGTGACCTATTTGGTGTTAGACAGGAAGAAAGTAAGAGCAAAAAGCAGCCATGCATGAGCAAACCATTAGTCCATATAGTCCAGTCCTTAGTTTGAAACAAGGCAGAGAGAGCAAGCTCTCCTTTAGACTTCTGACACCAGTGCAGATACTGGGCTTGTTTTGCGTGCAAGGTCATCTGTCTGACTGCATTTGGAAACCATATTGGAAATCTTGTTCTCACAGGACTAGCCAAAAGCAGATAGCTAGAGAAGAGTATAGGAACAGAGCAAGCATATCTGATGCTTCCCAGGGTACTCTTGGGCAATGAGTCATTGAAGGACTTCAAAAATTGGGTGCTGTTTCCTGGCGTTCATCCATTTTCCTGAAACTGTTTCTCTTTATGAACATCCCTGGTCTTCCTTAGAACCCCCATACCTAACAGTGTCTGTGTATAGACCTCTGTTATACTCCTTCCCAAGTCATCTCTTTGCTAATCTTAGAAGGCCTGTTAATTATTCCCTATAGGTCTTTCATGTCCCTGATCATGCCTGGCTTCTTTGAACCTTTTCTTGTGTTGTATAGCTTTTTTAAAGAGAGAGGGGACGGTAAGAGATCAAAATTGCACATGCAATGGACAGAGCTGAAGAAACAGACTTGGCTTTATCTGGTGGGATAAGGGTGTTCTGCGATTTGTGCAGAAGCTGAAGCCCAGATTTCCATGGTGCCAAGTAGGCATCCTAAGCACTATAGCATTCAGTGCTAATTAGAGAAGGAAGCAACAGAACAGGTGGCCACATTGCCTAATGTAATGTCATTTCTACTGGTCTGTAATGAGTGAAAAAAAGCAATGAGTCTGGGATTGTCTACCCTGCCATCATATTTGTTGTGTCAGCAGAGCTGTTTGAAATGTACACAAAATATAGCCACAGAGAGCAGGACAGGCCACTGAATGCATTCTGTGTGCGGTTTTGAATAGTTAACTTTCTGAGAACTGTCTTCCATACAGAAAGAAGTACTAAGAGAAACACTGAAAATTTCGTGCTGTAGCTCTGGTACTTCTGGAAACATTCCCCAAAATAATCTCCTTGCTTCTTAGGCAGATGATGACAGGGAATTGGAAAGTTCTGTCTCTGTATTCTAATGAGTCATGAGAGGTGGACAGTGCTTTTTCTAACCAAAACTGCATCATAACATTAAACAAAGGAGTTGAAGTATGCCTGTAGCTTGAACTGAACCTGGAAACAATATAAACTTCCGTTTCATTTTGTGTAAGGGTCACCTTTGTTATCTTAGTTTTCACCCAGACACCTTTGTCCTTTTGCACACATTTAAATCAGAGATGCTGCTGTGGTTGACAGCTCTATGAAAGGCATTAGACTGCTTAACTGTACCAGGGAATCATAAGAATGAATTATTATCAAAAATGCTAACATTAAAAATGTGTTTTAAACCTTACTAGCTATATACTTGAACCCTTGTAGGAATGTAACACTTGTGGACATGGCTTATATAGCTCTCCACTTCATGAAAACAACTTAAAAACATATTTAAAAGTCTGTTTTCAGGAACTATTTCCTTCCTTTCTTAACATCTAATGAAGTTACACCTGGCAGTCAGGAAGAGGGAAGGAATAGCTAGAAAAAGAGACATCACAGCTGCCCTCCTGATACTGCTCTTGACATAAATCTATGTAAGAAAAATTACATTCTGAACCCCTATCCTTTGTACAAAAGAGTAGCATTGAACTCAGCACTTTTTAAAAACCATTTTGAAGCAGAGAGCTTAAAGGTTGCATGTTTGGTTATATACTTTATAGAAGAAATGTTTTGAACTTCCATTCTCTCCACATTTGTATTTTTATGCAAAACGGGGCTGGAATTAACTAAATATTTGATTTTACTTTCCCCCCCAAAAAAATTTTTTTCTTGTTGATTTCTTCTTCCTTTTTCTGTTCCCCATTTCTTCTTTTTTCCATTCACAGGCTTTATATAGACATATCTCATTTCTAAAAAACAAAATGTTGTTTACCAGATACCCTTATGGCCTCAGTGAGAGCTTGTGTTGCACAGTAGTAGCATTTCTCACACCTTTTTTTTCAGTGTTGAGGTTCCTGAGTGTGCTTTCTTAAAACCAGTATACCCCTGATATACCCACTAATACCAGTATATAAACCCCTGATCAATATTTCAGATTGAAAAGAAGGTACATGGATTTTTTTACGTGAATCATAACAGCAAGCCCCAGACAATACGGTGAATTACTGCATAAGTCAGACATGTACAAGCAAATATGAATAATGAAAAGAGAACACTCCTTTCCATACTCATTACATATTGACATCAGTGCCTGAAGGCACTAAAAAATGAATGTAACATTTCTTACACATGTCTTTTTAATGTGGTTGTAAGTTATTTTCAGAAGGTGTTGGCCTAGCTCCATGGAAAGGTGCAGGTGGAGAAGTCTTTCTGCTACTTCTCTGAGCTACCTGAAGTCAAGGTTGTAAGAAGGGAGTCGACTTAATGTGTGATGTGTCTTCATTGGCATTTTGGAGAAATGGTAATATTTAGGTTGAGTAGAGCTGTGAACTGTACAGCTTCTGAGAAAGGAGTTCCTGTATGCTTCCATTATAGGCACGCGTTAATTTTAGATAGAGTAACCTTGCTGGCATGCCAGTAAATGGAACTAACTTTTGGGGGGGGAGAATGTTTTCCCTATTTTTCTTTAGATGTAACTTCCATTTTCTTTGCTAGTTTTCTGTATACTTTGTTTTTTAAACTGGTCAAAGAAAGAGGCAAGAGAAAGAGAGAAAGCAAGCTATTTCTCATTTAGGTTAAACAGGTTCTTTCTTTCATATTCAAAGCAAGCAGTGTATATTATTCAAAAGCCAAGCGTTGTGCTCCTTTCAGGATAAAGCTTTGAAGGCAACCTATATGAGAAGAAAGCATCTATTGCTTAAAAGTATACCAGATTAATTTAGTTCCAGTGAAGTTAGCAAAACTTCTCAGATCTCTAAAAGTAACTGGTCCTTTAATTGGCAACTATTGGTTGCCTGTTATTACAGACTTTTGATACCATTTAGCCAAATATGTTGGTTTGGGGTTTTTCGTTGTTTTGGGGGTTTTTTTCCCATTGGAAAAATAAATTTCAAGCTTTATCTATCCTGATTTTAGAAATCTTATTATACATGGGGGAAAGTAGCCCTGTCAGCTTGAACACAACAGCTGTTAAGGATGTGCTGTCATTCTGAGAGGTTGTCTGCTTTGAGACAAATTTAATTCTGTCTTGTTAAAAAGAATAAAAATAAAAATCTCTGCAGTATTTGAGAAAGGACCTTGTATTTCATGCTAATGAATGCTCTAATGAGCTCAGTCCCTTTGATCAGAATTTTTCTGTCAAGCAGATTTGATGGACTTCAGTGTTTCAAATCAGTGGCACACATCTCAAAAAATATAAAAGAAAGTTTACAAATAACATTGATTTATGTCATCTCATCTTAAGTGGTTATAATAAAACACCACATCTCTAAGACCTTTCATTTCAATAAACTATGACATGAGAATAACACTTACATTAGTCACACTTGAAACTCCCTTTTGAAACACTTCTCCATTTCATAGTAAAAGACCTTTTTCCATAAAACTGCTGTCCCTAAAAGTAACCTTACAAAGAGACTGGTGCAAAACCAGTCTTCCAACACTTTTTTTTTGCTGTCTTGTTTGCCATTGCGAATAGTTTGTTGCTCATTTCAAAGATTAAATAACACTATTGGCACACTTTAAAGTGAATAAACAGGATCTTTTTTTTTTAAAAAAAAAAAAAAAAAGCTTTCCTGAGCAATCTGGTGAATCTCATTAGAAGGTGAACATAATTATTGATATCCTAAACAAATTAGAAAAGTAGAAAAAAAGCTAAGTCTTTAGAGTTATTTCTTTGTGGGGTCAAACCAGGTCATATAATGGGTATAGGGTATCAGTTCTAACTGTAGGATATTTTTACACTGAAAAAGGTTTACATGAGCTAAACCTCAAATTTCTGCAAATCAGAGAGTAGGAAGGATATTATGTATTTTAAATGTATTTTCCTTACATGGCCACATTTACCAGTTCTTCATGAATGAAGCTGAAGCTCACAAATTCATATGCTTAAAATGGCATTGGGTTCTTGTACATTTAGGAGTGATCCATTATTTACACTGCAGATTTTTTTTTTTTTAATTGTGGACTGTGATTTGTTTGCTTCTAGGTAAAACTCGAAAGACCTGTCTTCTGCCCTCAAAATCAGCAAGTGAGCATAACTTTAAGGAATTCAGCAGAAACCAGCTATCAAATTATCCTACACTTCCACTGACCAAGTCAATAGAAACTCTACAGCAAGGAGAAAAAGCAAGCCGGTTGAGTTGTGCGCATCGTGCTCTGAAGAGCTCTGTCAAACCTCCAGCTGTTACGGGTCTGAAGAAGAACCGTAGAAGCTTACCGGTTGCCGTCTGTCAGAGCTATGAAACTCTGGATGGCCCGCAGGGTGTAGATACATGGCCAAGATCTCACTCTCTGGATGATCTCCAGGGAGAATGCAATACTAATCTACAGGATGCTAGCAAGGAATTAGGTTCTTTTCCTCAGGATTCACTGGATATAGCAAAAAAGGCAACTGGCTTTGCCCGGCCGCCCCTGTCTCATGGAGGCAGCTGTATGGTAGATGACTTGATGGGCATGCAGGGTAAAGGAGTTGCTAGTTCTCAGAAGGGAAGAGCTAAGGAATTGGATGGCTCTGTAATGGAGTCTGCAGGTGGAAAGCCTGCTCTGTTCCCCCTGAAAAACTGTGAAGCTCAGCCTGCCTTAGCGATGCATCTTGCAACAAGGACGCCTCTGGAAACACAAAGTAAAGGCTTTCATGACCTTGCACGGGCTGATTATGCTCCAGTCCTCAAGGGAGGTCTAGAAGCTGAGCAAAAAGGCACAAATGAGGCAAGAATGCAACCAAAAAATCCTTCTCAGCCACCGCCTGTCCCTGCCAAAAAATGCCGAGAACGCCTTTCTAATGGATTATATCATCCTCCTGTGACCCCAAGTGGAAACAACTCAAGCCTAGAACCACCATGTTTGCCAGTAAAAAAGAGCAGCTCATCCACGCCCATTGATTGTCATGGAGTACCTGTCCGTAGGACATCTTCTGAACAGGAGCCCAGTAGCCCTCCTAGCCCACTGCCACCCTGGCTGTCGGAGCTCCCAGAGACTGCTAGTGTTCAGCAGCATGTGATAAAGCTAGGTCCTGCTTCAGGGAGGAAGTTCTCTTGTAGCAGGGGAATGGATCTGGAAATGGTAATAGAAAACAAGTTGCAGTCTGAAGACATTGATCTTACTGAAGAACCGTACTCTGACAAGGTAAGGACATTGCGTCAGTGTTTTTATTCTACTGGCATTTCAAGGAATAGTCTCTTAGTTATTGTACCTATTGTATTTTTGTGAGTAACCAGCCTAGATAAACCATATATCATTGGGACATTATGCATTCTATAACTATGTTTGTCTTTGCTATCAGGCCTTACACCTAAAGTAACTCTTGTGTTGTCGGGGGACTGAGAAATCCTAGACTTATTCTGACCATTCATCTTTTCAGGCCACTAGTACCTTGGTGGCATTGGGCATGGAGATGTCTCTTTCTCTGCTAGCATGGGGAAGTAAAGCTGAAAAAGGAAGTCATTATTAGATTTGATGCTTCCAAGAAAATCTGAATTGATAGCATAGTGATTTGGACATCTTTTTGGGAAGGAAGGAGTCCTAAGGTCCAGTCCTTCCTTTAGAGATTGCTTTTTCAGTTTTCATGGAATCTCAAAGAAAGCTCCTTCTTGCTCCCATCCTGCACTTTTCTTTACCTTTGTATTGATCGATCTGTATTCTACACTTCTTCCATATATCCTCTCTCCTCTGTGTCTGGCTGGGAACATTCAGCACGGTCGCTGTGGCATTCCTGAGGCTTTGGTACAGAGGTATTCTGAAGACTTAGACCAGCCTGAAAAGGATGTTGCCACAAACATGGACCAAATCCGGGTAAAGCAGCTGAGGAAGCAGCATCGCATGGCAGTGAGTATTTCCATAAACTAAATTTTCTGTTGATGAGCAGAATTTTAAAAAGGACTGGCTACTGGTAAAGGAAGATACCTGCAAAGTCCTGGTACAAAAGTGCTTCCTGTGTTCACCCAGCAGGTACAACATAGTTAGGGGTACTACAAGGGGGACGAGGTACCTCCCCTGTCCCAAATGAGGACAGTTAGTGGTTGAAAACAGAGCGGATGGCCCTGTCTTTTGACTGAATAATAGTCTTGAAAGTCTAAGCAGACTGCAGGCAGTGGTAGCAGACACTCACTAAGGAGGTCATGTATTAAACACTTCTGTATTGAAATCTGAGAGGTTTTACTCCCCTTTTTAATTTCTTAAACTATACTGTTGTCCACTCCTCCTTAGCAAAAGCAGGAGGGGGAAACCGCCAAAAGCTTTCATGGCTTTGTACAAGAGAACTTGGTCTGCCTGAGGAGGTAATAGGCAAAATTGGTATTCTCTTGCCTTACTGAGAAATTAAATGGATCACCCTGGAAAGTCCTGTCACTGGCTGCTTTTCACTGATCTCAGTCTAATTCAGAATGGCACATGACAGTTGCCTAGGCAGCCAGATACTGCCCAGTGCGTCTGCACTGACAAAATTGTTCCTGTTGCTCCTATGCAAGGTGATCTTCCCCTTTCCGTCCACACCGTTCTCGTACTGACAAATGTGGCATCAGAGAAGTTTAAATGTCTGCGATGAAATTCTGCCAGTTTGGAAGAAAAAACAAAAGAAGGCATGCTGTAAAACAAGCAGTTATGTTTAACATTAAGGGTTCCTTTTTTTTTTTTCTTTCCTGCCCAGATTCCAAGTGGAGGGCTTACTGAAATTTGCCGAAAACCTTTATCCCCAGGACTTATCACCTCAGTATCTGACTGGCTGATTTCCATTGGCCTACCTATGTATTCCAGCCTGCTCACAGAAGCAGGATTCAACACACTGAGCAAAGTGCCTTCTCTGTCACAAACTTGCCTTCAAGAAGCTGGCATCACAGAGGAAAGGCACATAAGCAAGCTCCTGGCAGCAGCAAGACTCTTCAAACCTCTTGATCCAGAGGCAATTTAACATGCTCCATAGTGTGGCATTGCCTGGTCAAGAATCCACTGCTTCTCCCTGCACCAATATTGCTCTAATTACTTCACATAGCTACAGGGATCAAGGAAGTGGCTCCCAAGGACAGGCAGCTATCTTCTTGAAAGGATATGAAATGTTTCTATTGCTGTCTTTTTCAACTGAAGGAGAAGAGAAGCAACCACCAGGTAACAGAGATGTGGTCCTTCCCTACCCCCTCACTACCCTGTGAAGTATTCCTGTTTCATAAAGTGCACAGGGTTGACCTGAGAATCAGACAGCTTCACAGAATTCAGGGACCCTTGCACATTTTCCTCAAGTTTGTGAAAGTAATACTAGTAATAGGCCCTGTTTCTATGGAGAGCTCCTTAGGCTGGGGGTCCTCTGTAGATCTAGGTTCCAGGTTCCTGGGGTCAGTCCTAAAGACCAGGTACAAGCCAAGGTGCAAATTCCAGTGGAAGCTGTTTGGCAAATGCCTGTTGTTTATTTTAGCAGTTTAGAGCTAAACACAACCCCCCCACACCCCGTGTCATTTTAGCTGTTGCTTGGTATAGGTCCCAATACACCACAAAGCCTTTAGCTAGGCCAAAGTTACTGGACTGGAATTAGTTTTCATTGTGGTCCATCTCTGTCACTCCAATGCAACTAACCTGCGGAGAGTCAGAAAGCTAGTTTTTACTTGTACAGAGCTGAGGTCATTTTTATAACTGCTTTCTAGCAATCAGCTTTTTATTTGCCTTAAAATTAGCTTTTGAGCAGTTACCTAGTGTTCATTTACCTATACTCATGTTTCCCAAGCCTTGTTTCAACCTTTCGCCCTTAAGCTTCACTTAGGGTGATTTCCAGCTGAAGTAGCTTCTATGAAATGCCTCGTCATAACACCTTCTCTGTTGTAGAGATGCTTTTACAAATGCAGGGTTATGCTAGGTTTCGGTTGTCAGGCTAACTTCTTGTTCACTACAGTCTGCATTTACTGTTGTTACTAAACTGTTCCAAGATGTACTGCCTTGTATATACGTAACTGCTTTTCATTTTAATCATATTCTGTGTACTGTGTTATATTGTCAATCATTATGCTGCAGCTTTGACTTGGTATCCTGACCATATTGATTCCAAACCAGTGGGTTTCCGCAAATGAAAATTCACTTGTGGGAAATAAAATGCATCAAAAAAGCAAATTGTGTCCCAAAGAAATAATCAGATCCAGTAATTCTATTGCGTGGATTAAAAAAATCCTATATAGTCTTATGAATTACACTGTGATTTTACAACAGTTGATATCCCTCATGACTGGGTGTTAATGTTACCTCTCACTGGAAGGGAGCATTGTTCTGGCATATGTGGTGAACCATTTTTCCATGCTATATTTTTCTGCCTAAATCCATTTAAAATGTTCCGTTCGTGTATGTGGCTAATGACAGATTTTATTTTTCTATATGGGTACACATTTTATATACCAAGTACAGATTATCATGACTAGTATAAAACTAGCTTTTTCTTTGGGTTCTTTATATGGTGTGTCCTTCAGCTTCTTGTAGCGCAAACGCTCGATGGAAGACAGAGCAAGCTTACTCTGGCAAGTAAAGGGAGATAGTGTAAAAACCTGGGCACAGGCCAGGATGTGTGGCTGTTTCTATTATCAGTTCTGACATCAACTTCCTGTAAAAAAATGGACAAGGCACTTCACTGTTTGGTGCCTCAGTTATCCCAGCCTGATACTGAGCTAATTACACTCTTCCTGATAAAATGCTCTCAGATTGATGAATGAAAAGTTATGGTTACTTTTCATGAGTCCTTTCATGGCCATGTTTTAAGTCAGATGAACTATGCATTTTACTACAGGTGATAATAAATTTGGCTCCTGGTAGAATCAAGAGGTGTTAGGTTTACTTCCATTTCAGATTTCACCACTGGCCTCTGCACACCATCATGTGAAGGCAACTAATTCAGTGGTATAACTTGAAATTGTTCTCAAGCAAAGCTCCTCCAGATCTGTTTCTGTAATGTCTTCCTTGGTGTGTGGATAATCAGCATATTCTAATATGACAGCATGAGGAAACATACAGCATAGGTGCTTTGCACAGCTGGTGAAAATCTGAAAAGGAAAAAAATTGTAAAAAAAAAAATTGTCTTTTTAGTAATGATGACTTGTGTGATGTTGCTTTCTGAGGCTTACATGGCGACTATCAGTAAGCAGGAGATGGAAAGAGTAGTGAGACTTCCTGGGATTGCTGGCAGTAGAACTAAGTAGACAGCAGCTATGTTGGAGCAAGAGAGAAGTCCAAGCTGGCTATATGCAATAAAAAAAGGAAAAAATAAATCCTCATTTTGCAGGGAAGACAAGTTGTATAATAAAGCTGTCCCTTATTAACTACTTTCCCCTCTCATAATAACAGAAGAATTACAGGAATGAGCTGAACCTGTGTGCCAAACACTCTTTGTAGTTCCATGATCTTTGAATTATTATGTAGCCCAGGGAAATCAAATCACACCCATCAGGACTAGAGTGAGCAGTTTGAGATTTGTGAGTTTTAATGGTTGCTTTGTTTTTCTTTTTAGGACCGTGCTCTGTGGTCTCACTTGAATTACAATTTTAGTTTATAATTTTAATCTAAAAAAGCCTTAAGCTTCTCAGTGTTTGAGCTTGCCTGCCGTGGTTTCAGTGACCTGTGGCATTCCCGAGCAGGTGAGGCGGTGTGGTATGAGAGCCATAAACTCTTAATTTTCTTGCAGCCGTTCAGCACTCTAAGCAAAAGTTCGCACGTTGACTCTTGCGAAGCACAAAAGAAACCTGCTGCTGGAATCCTAATCTGCTCTGCTCAGGCTAGCGATGTTACGTATCTATCCATTGTACCATTGTAACTCAATCAGCTATTTAACAATAGAAGCAGCAAGGCCAAAATATTACCGAATGCCATCATAACCATAAGCTTCGATCAATAACCCCCGTGTCTACCCAGGTGCCAGTGGTGCCTGTAGTTCCCCGGGCTCTCCTGGGAGCCTGGCTTCGTATGCAAACTGGGAGCCTGATCAGAAGCATTAAACATGACATTATTCAAACAGGTCATCATCTCTAAGAGCAGCAATAGTGGTCGATTCACCAAGTCACAGCTGTGCAGTTGTACTGTATTATTTTTAGAATAAATAATACTTTTGGTCCAAGATACTTTTATCTTTAATTGACACCCTCTGGGGAATCAAAACTGTCGAGCAAGTTATGTAACAACTAACAAAGTTGCACTTTCTGTATATGAAATCAATATTTAAATAACTTATTTTTCTCCATTTGCTGTTCTTAAATGATGTAAGTAGCTGTAATATACCAGTACTCAATATGTCCTGCAGTTTGCTTCAACCCAAGAAAGCTGTGTATTGTAAAGAAAAAAAAAAAGAAAAAACAAAATATGAATGTGTAAAGATTATTGTGCTGTTTCATTAAGCAAAAAAAATGGTTGACAAAAGGGTTTTCCTGTGTATCAAAACTTGTCTATAATTATATGTCATACTGTTCATAGATAAAAAGTAAATAAATTTCCTTGGTCTCTCTCTTTTTTTTGTTGTTTTTAAGTTATCTAACAGATCTTCTATTTACTGGTCTGGCAGCAGTGTCCAGCTATTTAATTTCTTTTCTTGTACCCTTGGCCCTCTCCTTCCAATTTACCAAGCCTGTAGTTCCTCACCTTGTAAGCACTCCCAACACGTATCTACAGCAAGAGAAAAAGGTTAAAAAATAAAAAGATTAGAAGTCCTGGACTGGAAGCAGCCCTCAAAATGTGATTGCATGTCCGAACTTTGTCGAATGTTCAGCTGCTGGGCTGAGGGAAATGGTGTGAGAGGTCTCCCACGTCTCCACTTAGGAGCTTTTCCACTTTGCAATGGAATAATTAAAAATTGGTGGAACCAGAGAAAGAATATCCAGGTATAATGCTCTGGAGTTGTAGTTACAGCTCTTTCCTCAAAGAAGAGATTTCAGACCTGGTTTTCAGATGCAGCTCTGCTTCGTTGGGCTGGCCCAGTGCCTCGTTCGGGAGAGGGCAGCTCTGACACCTGAGCGGTCAGGGAATCTCTGCACATTCTGTAGTAAAATGCCAGTGCCCAGGTTTTAGGGCAAAGGAGCAGTAGGACATGACCTTTGGCGCTTCCTTCTAGCTCACTTGAGTGACTTCTTGCTTAGTGTGTTGCATTTGTTGGTCGATGTGACTCAGCTGTGTAATTACTGGGTATGCTTAGCTACCTAACAGAGTGCTGGCAGGTCCCCAGGGCAGCAGTGCACCATGGCTAAAGTTAATCCTTTGTGGATTTAGCCCTAAGTAACACGGGTGGACTATGCCTGCATTAGTTGTTGCTAACCAGAAGCTTAACACTGGAAATGACATAAAGAGAAAACAAACAAAAAAATCTACCGTTTGGGTTGGATCCAGACAGCTGAATCTTCAGTTCCCCTTAGGCAACGCTCCCATCAGAACTGTACAACGTGGCAAACAGTTCATGGGAATGAGGTAGCGTGTCAGATGTGAACTTCTAATTCTTCTCCTCTATTAATATCTTTACCAGGCCACTGCTGTGCGTGTGCACCAGAGGGCACTGCTCGGCAGGCTGGAGGGGGCTGCAGCTGGCTCAGATACAGGCTGTTTCCAAGAGTCTCTCAAGTAACAAAACAGAAATAAAAACAAAACAAACACTGCACAACGTGAAAAGCCAGAGCACTTGCCATTTCTGCAGCTGGAAGGAGTATTGCTTCCCTTCAAAGACTGCTGTGGTCCAGGATTGCTTTGGGAGCAGCCGAAACACAAAGCCCCCATCTGTTGTTCTCAGTATTTTGCATGTGCGTTTGATCCAACCACCGTAGCCACTGCCAAAACCAAACACCACCGCCCCCCAACGCATACATACCTATTCTTGTTCTAAAAGGTCTCTCTCTACAGTGAAGTATTTGCACCAGAAAAAGAGACATGGGAGAAACACTAATAATACTTATAAAAAACAACTCTGTG